TTAACTGCAGAAATTTAGATCAGAGAATATTTTTAGTAAAGAATTTAAACAAATCTGAAAAGGTCCTCCATAGAAGAAGCCTCATTTAAGAATGCCTGACTTAATTCTTCTTGTACTAATGCATTAAACAGTGATACACTAATTTTTTTTGCCCCCTCACAAGACTGGAGATTTTGGAAGGATGATGTTCACAGAGCAAGCCAAACTAAGAACACTGTTTCCTGTCAATTCATTCCATGAACACAAAATCTGGAAGCTACATAGCATGTAACATACACTAAAAGGCTACAAAAAAAAAAATAGGTCCACAAGAATCGACTGTCAGATTGCAAAACTGACTTTGCCTTCATTGCCATCTTGGAGCGTTCTACACCAATGTGAAGTCTCAGGGTTGTTTCTGTTTTTATAATAACCACGTTTGAAAAGTTTCATGTTAAACTACTTTTCCAGGCCAGCATAGCAACTCTTTGGCAAAGATGCCAAGATGTTTTAGCTGAAAAACAAACCTGCCAAAACCTGCTGGATGACAATAAGGACTGAATGCTTTACTTATTTGCATTCAGTAATATTACCAGTTTATTCCACGATGTGCTTTTGACTAATCAGTTAAGATTGCAAGTTACTGGCCAGAAAACAGCCCACTAGGAAATTACCAAGTTCCATACAACTCTCACAGAACTATGGGACCTTTCTCAAATTTCTCAAGCACATTGTGAGTTTCCATATGTATTTACATACCTGATGTAATGTCAGACCTTGAACTATCACCCCTTGCTGGGCATCTTCACGAACAGCCAGAGGTCCAGAGCTGACCAGCAGATCACGGATCTGTTCATTGTAAATCTTTGAAAGGGAATTTAAAGTATTTTATTAACATCTTCCCATACTTGACTGAATTAAACTTAAATAAACAGAAATCACTCGTCTTTTTTAGTATTTCTTTAAGGCAAAGTAACAAATTCACACTGTAGATTTTTTTCCAAACAGCTTTATTACACTGAGCTCAAAATATTCAATGTGCATGATTTCTTTTAAGCCATTAAGGTGTGCCATTTTTTCTAGTAAATAACTGTTTTTCTTATTAAAAAAAAAAACTTTTTTTTTAACAAAAAAAAAAAGTTTTTGCAAGCAGCATGAGTCCAAAGCATTTATTTTCCTTTTTTCTCTCCTCTCCTTCTCCCCCCTCCCAAACACCAACTATTCTTCCATTAAGAATTTGAGGGAGCTAGAAGATAACAATTTCACTACTAATATACAACAGCAGTGCCAAGACACTGACTTGTAAAACCAGAACATCATTTTGTTGTGTAATTTCACAGTGCTTATAGAATGTTGTTGTGAATTCCTGAGATGTAACCCTGGTATCTTTTTGTACACATCAACAGATATTCAGAGGGATGTAATTGATCAGCAAGACAAAAATCACGAGAATGTTCAGTGAATATATTAGAAGTGATTGTTCTTTTTAGGCAGCCTTCTGTAAAACAGTGACAGGCGCCTTTGAGCAGCAAATTTGGCAGAGCACAGTTCAGTCCCACTCCTGTAAGGATGCATTTTGTCAAGCCCCAGAAAGGACCAAGGAAAGGCAAAACCAGCTTGTCTTTATGTATTAAATATGAATTATTAAAAGCAACATAGCAAATGCAGGAACTCACCTCTAAATAAGAGACAGCAACATCACATATTTTATCTTCTTTTATTTGATCCATGCGGTCATAAAGTGTCATCATGGTTAAATACATCACTCCAGGATCTTCAGGAGAACCTAACATGGTATGAGTCTTTCCAGCTCCTGTTGCACCATATGCAAGCACTGAATTTACACAAAAAACCAAAGTAAGAACATGCAAATTATACCAGTAAGCTAATCAGAAACACATAAGTCAAATGAACAGAGACCTGTCATTCTGAACAGCTGTTTTCATAAACTGATCAAGTTCCTTACTTAGACTTTACCTTTAACAGCTGTAATCAGAGACCTATTTCAAAGTAACATTTTTGAATTTTCGGTTCAAAATTTACATGAAAATATTATTTACTTACTCTCATAACCCTACACCATCGACTTATTGCTAAAAGACATTTAATTTCCTCATCACATTTCATTTGCCAATTAAAAAAGCCTCTTTGAGAGTTCATAAAGCAGGCTACCACGCATTTAGTGACACAACTGCTTCTGCTTGAATAACTCCAGAGGAGTTATTATGTCATTAGCATACATATTTCAGATAAAATTCTGAAGTATGATATAACCCTAACACAAACTTACTTCCAAAATAGTAGAGCTATTCTAACTTCCATATGCTAAAAAGCCAGCCTCTCATACATATGAATTAAAACACAGGGCTTTATTTCTATCTCAGGCTTTTTTAATGCCCCTGCAGCAGCTGCATACGATGGTAGAAACTTTGAAGTTTTTTAATTAAAGAAAATAAATAGCGAAGTTACCTGTGCAGTTATATCCATTTAAGAAGCCATCAATCAGAGTTTTGGTAGTATGCTCAAAAACTTCCAGCTGGGATGACATTTCATCAAAAATAGCATCAAACATAAATTTAAGATCTTTCCTCTGTCTTTTGTTAATGTCCCTATGGGTCAGTCTCTTCCCGTTAAAGAAGCTAACTTCTTCCTCCTTTGGATCAAAGACCAACACATGCTGGTCAATGACATGGACAACCCTGCTAAAGTTGTCCTGTTTTTCCTTTTGGGTCTCTGGACGGACACGGACCACCACTTTCACGTGACTGCAAACATCTTCTTCCTTAGCGGGAGTCATCCCCTCCGGCCCCCAGCTTCGCTTCCAAGACTCTTTCAGGTCTTGCACAGCTGAATCTCCTCTGCAGTTGACAACACAGAGTGAAAGGCATTATATTTCAGATAAAACCTTTCAGGTAGTTCACGTTTTTGATAAGGACTAACACCCGGCATCTCTGCTGGGTCCACCCAGTGCTTGCCAGTCAGCTACAATGCAGTGCAACTTAGGGAAGCACTGGAACCGGCCAGCGCAGCTTTAAGAAACCCAGCTAGCACTTCCCCGGTAAATTCCTAAATTTATTTTAACAATTCAAGCTACTGAATAACCTACTGGCTGTCCTTTGTGTCAGAGCAAGCTTGAAGATGAGCTTCCAGGTTCCTACAGACTAATGTGGGTAGTTTTCTTGTCCTGCAGCAGAAGGCAGAGCAGCCGCCTATGCTGTAGTTATAGGGAACTCTATTCCCTGGGTTATTGATTTACGCTGCACGTGGGTTTAAAGGGAGTTACAGCGGGATTTACGTTAACGTAACTTGCACGGGATACAGCGACCGATAACAACCTGGAACTTCCTTTAAATGGCTCATCCTTGCTTGTTCGTTCCTCTAAGAGCGGACAGCGACTTGCACGCTAAAGGCTCTCGGCGACGCTTTTGCCGCTTCGGGGCAAGCTCAGCTGAGCCATAACCGAGACACGGCCAGGGAGCAAGGGAACACCTGGGGCAGAGGAGCGGGGGGCTCCCCTCCGTACCCCACCGCACACCCTCCTGCTCGGGGCGCGCCGCCGGAGATCGTGGCCAGCGGCGAGACAGCGCTCAAGCGCCCGCCTCGGGACTGCGGCCCCGGGCCGTGTCCGCGCCGGCACTCGTTCCCCCGGGCAGCGCCATTCCCCGGGCCTTCCCCCCACGGGACCGTGTCCACACCCGTCTTCAGTCCCCGAACCGTGTCCATCCCTGGTCCCGCCCCCGGCCCCTGTCCGCCGCTCCCTCGCCCCCGGCCCCTGTCCGCCCGCCCCTCGCCCCCCGGCCCCTGTCCCGCCCGCTCCCCTCGCCCCCCGGCCCCTGTCCGCCGCTCCCTCCGCCCCCCGGGCCCCTGTCCGCCCCTCCTCGCCCCCCCCCTTCCGCCCGCTCCTCGCCCCCCGGCCCCTGTCCGCCCGCTCCCTTCGCCCCGGCCCCTGTCCGCCCGCTCTCCCGCCCCCCGGGCCCATACACTCACCCCGGGACCGCTGCCCGCCTCCGGCCCGTGTCCGTCCCCGCTCTCACCTCCGCGGCCGGTCCAACCGCCACGCTCCGGCCGCCCAATTCAAACACAAGCAGGCCGCCCTCCGCGCCTCCTCATTGGCCGCCTGCCCGTGACGTCAGCAGAGCGAACGGCGCTCACGGTAAGTGCGCGCGGGCCGAGCTCGGCGCGTGCCCCGCGGGCGCGGCGAGCGGGGACAGCGCCGGGGCCAACCAACGGGGCCACCAAACGGGGGCGGGGGGTCTCGCCTCCGCGTGTCACGCTGGCCCAGCCCAGGCGGGGAGCGGGGGAACAGCCTTCGGCCGCGGAGCTGGCGCGGGCCGGGCTGCGGGCTGCTGACGCTTTCCGGCCGCCTCTGCCTTCACCTTCTGGCTCAGTGCGAGCCCCGCTCTGCCTCTGGCTGTGCCTGAGTGCCGCTTTAGACCGTAATAAAGTACGCTCTCTGCTCGCTTCTACGAAACAAAATCCCCGCGGTCTGACAGAATAGGGTTGGCTGTAGGCAAAGCGTGTCCCCGGCGAGACCGGGCTGGGCTCGCACCCGCGTGGGTCGGTGTGAGGAGGAGGAGGAGGAGGCTGGTGGCCGCACCTGTCCTGCTTTAACCAAGCCCCGGCAGGCGCTCGCTGCCCCACCCACGGGATCGGGGAGAGCGGGGGAAGGGTGAAAACTGGAAAACTCGTGGGTTGGGATAAAGGCAGTTTAATGGGGAACGAGAAAGCTGTGCACACAAGCAAAGCAACGCGAGGAATCAATTCACCAAGGGCAGGCAGGTGCTCAGCCCTCTCCAGGAGAGCAGCGCCCCTTCACGCGCAACAGTGACTTGAGAAGACAAACCATCACTTCAAACCTCCCGCACTGTATAAATTCAGCATGATATCATATGGTCTGGAATATCCCCTTGGCCAGTTTGGGTCATCTGCACCAGCTGTGTCTCCTCCCTGCTGTGTTCAGCACAAATCCAAAGCACAGCCCCACGTGAAGAAAATTAACTCTGCCCCAGCCAAAACCAGCACAGCATCCCGTGGTGATGTGTGTGTTTGCTGTAGGGGCGCTGTGTTTTGTTGTGAAACCTCAGTTCTGGGTTGTCTGCAAAGTTAGAGGGATGTGCACTAACGAATTTAAGGTAGGTGGAAATACTACCCAGCTGAGGCTTAAATTATTGAGAGAATAACTTTCCAGAGGTGATTACTCAGCATGTTCTTATCTGCGCAGGCAAAATACCTGAGGCCTCTGGCAAGGTAAATGCAAGCAAAACACATAATAAAAATTTGATAGTGAAAATAATCTACTGGTTGCTTGATTGGTAAATAGCATTGAAACTTCTGAAAACATATTTTGCTGACGTGACATATCTATAAAACTGCCCATCTTGGAATGTGTGTTGATTGCTTTACTTACAGCAGTTCCACTTTGTTTTTTAAACAGATACACTGTTTCAAGTATTTGTTTGAAAGTAATTCTCAGCATCTACTGTTCTTCCAGGTTGATCAACTCCAAAATGTTATCTCGGTATCTCTGCCAAGTTTACAAGTGTTTGTTTCTCCACAACTTAAACCTGAATTCGGTAAGCGTGGCTAGTCTGGCCAGAAGGATCCATATTTCATCAAAAAAGCTTTCTGACTGTGAGTTAAAGGAACAAACCATCCAGAAATGCAAAACTGAAGAGTTGCCTCAAAGTACGGAAAAGAGTAACTTTGGAAGATTGCATACACCAGTGATGCTGGAGGAGGTTCTTAGTTGTTTATCCCCCCAGCCAGGTCAGGTGAGTTCAATGATTAATTAATGTTTGTGATTCACTAACAGTCCAGCAGAAAAATTTGTGCAGCGTAGGCTTAACTTTTGTGTAGAGGAATAAAGGTGTGCTCTTTAAGGATCAAAAACATCTTTTAAAGGTTTGAAATTGTTTTGCAATTCAAATTAAGACTCTGCATTCAAACTAATAAAACTATTGTGTTTGAATACTCTCTTGCTTTTGTGCTTGTCTTTCTGAATTGCACATGTGCATTCCTAGGGTCCTGTTCATTACTCATAGTAGTGGGGAATTCTCATGGATGGTTGTGTCATGAGTTTGTGTAAAGCTCTCTTCTTCTTGTACAAGAGGTGGTATTGGGGTTTTAAAAATCATCATCATCATCCCTTGTTCTGAGATATTTATTTCCATGGTTGGAGGTGTTTCCTTAGGAAATGCTTACACTGCATGAGGAGCACTGTAGAGATACTGTAGTTATAAAATGGCTGTATGGTACCAGAAATGGTTTTGCCTCATTAGTGTGGAACTTTTACAAGCTATCTTATTTGGGTATGGTACTGTAAGTACTTTGCTTTTGGTACCTGGGTTAGCTCAAGTCTCTACACTGCTGTGTTGATATATGTGCACTGTATGCAGTCTAGGTATATTGTTACATGCTTCCTTGAGAAAAATGATACAGTGAAATGTTTTTTTTTTGTCTGAGTGATCATAAATAGAATGTTAAGTTGAAAGGATTTCTTAAGCAATGTAAATGCTTAAATAATTTTCACATTTCGGATGCTTTTTATCTGTGATACTAGTGCTTATGTTAGCTTCACAGGATCTTACTAATTTAGGCTTATCAATGTGTGATAAGCCTACAAAGACTGAAACAATACATAAATAAGTAGAAAGTTTAAAGAGAGTGTATGTTCTTGTTTTCATTTGAAAACAGCCTCGTCCAACAGTGGCGAAGTGATGTAGCAATTTTGAGATGGATTCAGTGATCAAAAATTTGCAGTCAAGTCTTGTTGTGTTGCCTTGTATTTTAAGTGTTTGAAGAAGCAGTGAGAATGCAAATAGTGTACACACACATTAGCATACAAATTGCTCTTGCATGTGTCCTGCTGTTGAAGACACTTAAATCAGTCAAATACATAACTTCAAGTTCAGATTTCTATGTCAGAGCTATGGTGAAATTTTCACACATTAAATGGACATAGAAATTGTGACACTGTATGTAAAGTATTTTTTCCAGTTGTGTTATTTAGATAAGATTTATATATTTAGATAGTTATTTAGATAAGAAGAGGCTGATGAAGTGACTGTTCATTAAACTGTCTTTGATATAAATAAAAAAAACCAAACCAACTTTCTTGGCAACAGAACTTGCAAAAGAAACTATTTGAGGTTATAAACTGTGGAGAGTAACTATTATTGCCCCTGAAGAGTTTTTGGTAATTTAAATATTTATGAATGTAAAATAGCTTATTATTGGGGTGGGATTTTTTCAGGTCTGTGTATCCATGGTTTTGCAGGTTTCTAAGCTAGTAGTGAACAACTAATGACTGCTGTAAAGGAGTCCAAGTGTGTTTACCTCAAACAGAAGCATTTATAATACTGTTAACCTGTTCAGATTAAAGGAAACTGGAAACTGTTCAGCACTCTCGTTTTTCTTTTTATATATATATTTTCAGCACTTTCTGCAAAAGAATGCAATGTGTCAACTGAATTTTGCTGGAATAAGTGAAATTTTGAACACAGATTGAGACAGTGTCTCGCTGACGTGAGTGGTGGTAACCAGTTGGTATTAATATGGTTCTCAACTGGGACTGTCGTATAAATTTACATTTTTAACGTTATAGTCATGACAGGGAAGTCCATAAACACTTTATTGTGGGTGGGGAAGGAAATGCTCTGATCTTGGATTTAGTTTTTCTGCTTTCTTCTCTCCTACACATAAAAATTTCCTTTACTCATCTTTGACACAGTTATATTCTTTGTTATAAAATAGCTGATTTGGGCCTCTGTTTCTTGTTGTGTGCTAATACAAGGAGTTGCCAATATAAAGAAAATCTAATCAGAAAGATGATGTTCTCCCTATAGTTATGGTCAGTGAATGGGGTTTTCATTTTACTTATAGGGGTTCTTAAGAAAATAAATGTTACTTAAGAGTGAGTCACAGCTGAGATAAAGATGTTAGTACCCTCCTACTGAATATTCTTGTTGATTGTCTCCTTTGGGGAGTCTGTTTGTCAGGGGTTTTAGCAATAATATTTCCACTTATCTCTGAATCTTCTTTTATTGCCTTGTTTCACAAAGTCCCTGTAGTAGTCCTGTCTTTAAAGCAAAAGCTACAAATTAGTTTTTACCGATCTACCTCACTTCTCAATGAAAAGTCTGTTGCAGTAAATCCACATGCAAGTAATTTCCTCTTTAAGTTTACTGTATTGATTAAACTACATTTTAATCTTTTCAGTCCAGTGGTGTTCTTTGCGAATACCCAACCGATGTTTTTGCAGCTCGCTGGGCAATTGAGTTTTCTCTGTTCTCTTAAAGAACCAAGTATTTTCAGAATCAGTGTCTTTAGACATCCAGAGGCATGTTTCCCAGTTTTCACCCTGCTTTTTCCCATTTTTTTTTCTTTTACCACAGTCATTGGCATTTTAACTAGACATGTGGATCTCCTCCACATATTATGGCTATACTGATATGTAAAAGAGTTTCATTAGCAGTGTCTTCTAGTATGAATGCCAGAGGCTGAAACTCTGAAATTTTAACTATTCTTAGGAGGACCTTAAAGGTTCTTATGAGTTGCAAAGCTGTAGGAAATCACAGTGCTCCAGCACAACAAACACTTCGATGCATAATATTTAAACTCCAACTAGAACAAAAGCAACTTGTGCCCTACTCAGATTATATGTAATCTGATGCCATCTATGGTTTTGCATTAAATATGATCTAGAATAGACTAGAATGGAGATACCATAAACTCTGCTAGTTCTGTTTGGTTTATGATAGTTCTAGAGGTCTTTTTTTTTTTTTTTAGTGTCTGTAAATTATAGGTATCTGTAATAATAGGTGGTCAAACTTGAGGTGAGAAAGAATGAATGAGACCTTTCCCTTTTCTCCAGTGTTTAAGTTATTAATCAGAAGCAGTATCAGGTGATTTTTTTTTCTCATTAAGTTGATTTGTGTAAACAAAAATAAGGCAGTTAATTTTCCCCAAAGAGGTCTTGTCTGACATCTTGAGTTAGCTGGGACTTATTGTGGAGATTTTGGTTTTGATTCTCCATAAAATTATTCAGATTATTTTTGCTACCCAGCATTCATTGAAGGAATGACAATCCTTGTCTTGGAAGTAATGTGTGATATCTAGTTTCTAGAAAGAGACAGGTATTTCTTGAAAACATCCAGCTTTGCCATGAGCTCTTCTTTCAGTCTTTCAGGTCTATATTGCTTTGTTTTCAGGATAGTTACTATTTTCACCCACCCAAACATCCAATGATTCTTTTTCAGCTGAGATCATGAGCGTGGCCTTCTAAAATAACAGGAGGAGGTGTAAGACACTGCTGATGGTCAAACATTGTTCTGTTGTGAGGGAAGTGATGCTTGAGCTCTGCAGTTGAAGTCTGAAGACAGTGGCTTTTCACCTCCTGAAGGTTCTGTTGGATGTTGTTGGGCTGGAGCATGATTGTTTCCTTCCTTCTCTGCAGAGCTAGTTGGTCAAGTCCCAGATGACACTTGGAGGAAGCTGAGGAAGGCTGCTGGTGTGCAAAAGTGGGGTCTGCTGTTCAGAACTTGCTGTCTTAGTTTCTTTATATTCCTGTCCATGCGTCAGTATTCTCTTTCTGCCTTACACTGAGTGTAAGCTCTTTAAGGCAAAAATAACCTTTCTCTGTACAGCATCCTGCAGAGTGGACTTCTGTTTTGTGAGAAAGGTTTCCAATTATCGTGGTGTATAAATAGTTACGGGTCTATGCTGGTGACCAGTGTTCTTATCATAGTACCTCCAAAGCCATCTGCAAATAATTTATAACTGGAACGACCCATTTACACTAGAGGCTCTCAAAATTGAAGTTTTCTGCAGGGTATCCAAGATAAACAGGAATTGAAAAGGGATCTGGAAAAATTAGTTCTGAGTTCTCAAGCTGTATGAGGTTTTGTTTTTTTTTTTTGGTAGGATGCAACCAAAATACCAAGTTTGGAATGGAATATTAATTACATCATGAGATAAATGCTGAAATACTTGTTTTGAAAAAGCACAAGACACACATGGATATAGTGAAAGTCTTTATTGTTTTACCTTATTTTCACTGGACTTGTAAAATTAATTAGGTGACATAAAGCAAGTGATTTGTAAGTGTTCTTTGTTGTAGAAACAGCTATGGTTTTTTTTGTGGGAAGCATGCTGAAAATATCTTTCCATATGCAAATTTTATGGCTAATTTTTCTGTGTCGGTAGCACAGTGATTTATATGGTGATTGATAAAGATAAACCATTGTTGTGAAACAGAAAGATATAGGAACTTGCAAGAGGCAGTAAACTAATACAGAGAAATTCTGACAATATTCTGGGATTTACAGAACACACTTTTTTCCCATGATACTTGAGTGTTACTGGGGTATATTGAGAGTTATTGCAGCTGATCATGTAGTTCCTGTGTATTCTTTCAGTCACTCTTATCTGGTTGCATATATTGTGAATTTATGGAAGAGACTAGTCATGCTCCAGATCACAGCTGGGTATGGAAATGTTTAATAAATGTGTGTGGAGTGCATATGTATGCAAAGTATATTCATTTTTGGTGGTGTGTAGTAGGAAACTAGTTAAATGGAATCTCATCAGATAATGATGATTAAAACATTTGGCTAAAATCATACCTTAGGAGGGAATTTTTTTTGCTGAAGTTAGCATTTGAAGTTAGTGCACAAAAATGGAAAATATTTTCAAAATAGTTTTGACTAAGATATGCAAAAGATAGTACCTCAAATATTTATTATTATTTAATATAGTAATATTGTCTTGTTTT